GAATCCGGCAAGGCTGTATAGAGTGCGGGGAGTGCATGTTCCTTACAGCCTGCGGGACTTTGTATCTAGGATTCACATGACGTGTGCTTGATATAACAGAAACAACATCCATATTGTAAATCTGTAGAAGTTGAATCAAAAGGAAGTATTCTCAATAACCCCCATCCGACACACCCAGCTAAGCCTTATTTTCAACATGCTCCGCCCTCACATCGTCCTTCTCATCCCCTCCGCTCCCCGCGAAAACATGCGTCCTCCACCTCCGCGCCGGTACCCTCTCCGTAAAAAACATAGCGACCTCCAACCTCGTTCGTCCCTGCGTCTCACCCACACAAAACCACACCCAAATCAGCGACGTCAGCGTTGTACCCGCATACACGAACCCGACCATTGGACCCAGACCGGCATCATAATACAGATACGGCGCGGTGAAGGAGATCACCCAAAGGAAGAAATACAGCGCCACGATGGACACCGACATGATCTTATTCTGGTTCACGCCGACCGATATTTCGCGGGACACGGCGTAGGTGAGTGGGCCGAGACCGAAGTTGTATGCACAGATGACGACGTAGGAGAAGACGACAATGATGTATTTGGATGCTGTGGTGAGAGTGGATTGGGTGCCGAGGCCGCCGATAATAATGAAGGCGACCAGGATGAGGCTGGTGCTGGCGAGGAGGTTGGTGCGGCGGCGGAGACGGTTGCCTGTGAGGATGGATACGGCGACAGCGAAGATCTGTAGGATCATGGTGATGAGGGTGATTGTAAAGGGCTGGGACACGCCGAGAGCTTCAGCAAACACGACGCCGTAGTTGTAGAAGAAAATGATGCCGCAGATTTGTTGGGCGTACATGCCGCCCGAGGCCCATATTAGCTTTTTCCGTTCGATGGGGTCGAGGAGGAGGGAAAGCCAGGAAGATTCTTCGCCTTGGGCTTCTTCGTAGCGTCGGGCTTGCGTGAGGAAGGCTAGATCGGCTCTGGGGTCGTAGGTGCGGTTGTTGCGGTTGATTTTGAGGAGGGAGCGTCGGGCGTCCTCCAGTCTGTTGTGGAAGACATACCAGGTTGGGCTTTCGGGGATGAAGGGTAAGAGGAAGAGCATGAAGAGGGGCAGGATGACGAGTCCGCCCATTGGGAGTTTGTAAGATAGAGACGAGTGGATGGAATTGGTGCCTTGGGTGAGGCCGGAAGCGACGAGCTGCGAGCAGGACTGCAGGAATTGGTACATGTACAGTGCTGGACTTCGTATCTCCATTGGTGCGATTTCTCCGATACTATGGATGGTCAATGGTGTTTTACATTTGTGTAGAACCGACACAACAGCACTCACTAGAGTAGCGACGTAACCGTAAAGTTGCCCACTCCAAGCCCGATCAGAATGCGGCCAAGTACAATAACACCCTCAATGTTCGTGTCCGCGACCTGGGTCACACCCCCTGCGAGCACAAACGCCGAAGCAATCCAGAGGACCGTTTTCCGACCAAAGCGATCATTGAGGGGCCCTGCAATGAGTGCACCGAGCATATCTCCGATGTAGATGCTTGAGGTAGTCAGCGAAGTAAAGCTCGTCGCCAATGCTTTCGCCCCATCCTCGTAATGGTCGCCGTAGTCATTCTTGAATTCTTGCATGCCTAGAATCCCGCTGTAATATGTGTTGTCATAGCCAAATACCAGGGCGCCGATGGCGGAGATGGAACAGTAGATCAAGGCCCACCGGTGACGGCGGAATTCGATGTCGAAGCCAAACATGATGGGATTTTGGCATTGTCCATTGACATAAGAGATGGTGACCTCCAAGAAGCAAGAAGCAGTGAGGAGGCCATGCGGGAGTTTAAATAGACCTAGCCGAGGTTGTAGCCGTAGCGCAATACTATTCCCAGGGTATGAAGTATGACGAAGGTAGGCACGAGAAGAGAGCCAACCGAGTACCACCCCCACGCCGATCTGAACGACATCGAGGGGGCGATTGGCTCGCTTGCTTCCGACTCTCCTCCCCCAGATGATGCCCCCACGGATGTGCCTTGATTCGCGGGGAAAATGCGGGGGAGGCCAGACTAGGGCTGCGCTTGTCTGTGCTCAATCAAACACAGTGGCCTGACGTTCAGTATCCCGGGCGGAGTCTAAGCCCAAAGAAGGCAGATGACGTGCGGCGCTGTTACCAAAAGAACAATGCCTTCTTGTCGTACTCTGAAGAGGGGCTATGCATGGTGATCTGAATGGATAGTGCACTTCCCGCCGGTTGGGGTCCATTAATTGCCCCAACCAATCGCAGCTGGAGAGTTGCAAGGAGCGACGAGGAGTCACCGGTCTCTGTCACTCCAGCAGCGTCTACCGGATGAATTCTGTGCCGGAGAAAAACAAAAAGGTAACGATTTTGTTCTCCTGAGCAGTTCAAACATGTGGGATGAAACTCGTCCACTCAACGGTCACATAAGAACTCGATGGAAGTTGTCGCAGGCTGATGAAAGCCTCGATGATGATGAACAAGCGGGCTGGGACCAGACAGGCACTGATAAAAGACATGACAACGTCCAGCACCCAAGCACGCCACCCTTTCTCTTCTTTACCGCTAGGCTGCACCCAGATCCATGTCAAGGACTGGTGACCGTCAAAGCCTAACGCAGTGAGAGTAATCCGCAGCATGCTCGACAAGGGAAGACCAGACGCCAGGAAGACGCTCATGATGCGCCACATCAATTGTTCGGTACTCGTGGGGAACACATGGTTCCATCCTAGCAGATGGACAGCCGGATGTACCATAGCTTGGATGGATACCAGTATCCAGGTGCGCTGACTTAGGCCATTGAACACAATCTTGTCATCCGGCATGCGCTGTAAGGGGCTTTTCTGCGGGCGGAGATTCTCGAGGGTCGGTCGGCGATGCCACCGTTGGTGTGGCTTCTCCAGGAAATCAAGTGGTGTCTCGCGGAAGGGCTCAACGCCGATCTCCCCGGCACTGTTGATCAGGCCGTTGACGGATCCGCTCTTGAGTTCGATAACGGTCGGTACCCCGACGCTCTGTGGCTTGTGCATCCAGAAGTAGTAGGTTGTGATTGTGGATAACACGAACGCAATGGTGAAGAGCTCGAGAGGAGATACGGCGAGACCCTGTACGGCCCGGGCAATGGACTGGACCACGAGCCACACCCCTTGCACCAACGCCACGCATTTAGCGAACGTATCTGCCTTGCTCTTATCCCAGATCTCCTCCGCTGTGATTGTAGGGCAGTCGATATGGTGAGTCTCGACGAGGTAGTGGATCGAGGCGGCAGTAATGGGGAAGGGAGGGTAGTCTGTCGATTGAAGGACGAAGCCACCGCTATTGGCGTAGAAAGCGTGTTTGAGTGTCCATTCCTTGTACCCCAGGCGGTGCATATCGCGCACTGATTCCTGAGCCGACTCGTACTGCATGGCGGAGAAGCCGACCAGCATGTCGGGGGCCAAGATAGCAAAGGTTCCCCAGCGGAGCTTGCGCCACAGAACCGTCCAAAGGCTATCATCGGGGGCCGGAATATTCAGATGTAGCACTGTCCAGAGAGCGGTGGAGAGGACCAAGCAACAGCCCCAGATAATATCGATGGTACCCCGATCGTTGGGCGAGTCCACCCAGCCACTCACTTCTCCCGCGGGCAACGGCGCCATGATTATTGCACCACAATGTTCGGGATTGCACGTGCTATTGGAAGAAAGATATCAACAAGTCGGTTTGACCAAGATGGAAGAACAAAACGAACACCTCCCACTGAAGGGTGTTTGCGCGGATCTTCATGGTTAATGAACCCCTCCACATGCTGGGCCATGACGGATCTTTTGTCGGCCAATAATGCATTAGTGCAGACGCAGGGGATGCATATTCCGACCGGCGAGTCACAAATGAGAATGAGAAACAAGAGATAGCATACAGAGCACGATGGAGTCTCGCGCCAAGGGCCCGGAGCGTACAAGTGCGATATCAGGATATTACGATTGGCATGCTGCATGAGCTGACAGGCCTAGACGCAGGGTCTTGATTGAGCAAAGACCATCCTCAAAACATGATTTTTCTCTGCGTGGGGGCCAAAAGTGCAGATTGGACTGGGACACCATCTTGTCCGGAATTGCCTGATGTACTTTTGATTCGAGCACGAGGGTTGCGACCGGCGAAACCTCTGAGACAATGACAACATGCGAGGAATGTCTAATCTAGTCTATAGTAAGCCCTCAGCAGGCACTGTGATGCTTGGGGGCCGAGGAGCAATAGACTTCGTCAACTGCAGTGGAACAAGGAGGGCAGCGTGGCTCTGGATCAATTAACTTGGACTTTAGCGGCTTGAGGGCCCGTCCGCGATAGGCCGCGAGGGGCCGCTGTGGGGGGAAGTCGAGAGCACCGGTGCTGACAGGCGCTGACGGCTGAAGGGCGAGAGCAGGCGAGCGTGACGCGAAGGAATTGCTGGTGGAGATGGGCGGGTCTCAAGCTAACGGGAAGGAGTTGTCCATCCGCAGGTTGATCCCTGAACAGCAGCGATTGGCGTCGCTTATCCCTTCAAGGGGATCCAGTGCTGTCCTCGGTGTTTCTCCAAGGCCCAATCAATGTGGCCAAAGCAACCTGGTCAATCTCTGCATACTTAGTATCGGCAATTTGGGGGCCAAAAGTTACCCCTGCACGAGCGGGGATGTGACTTGAAAAAGGAGAAGATACAGCAACGCCTTCATGTGCATCCCAGGCCTCGTGGCCGACCACGAGGACGCCTAGTCGACAATGCATGCCGACGGTGGGTCAAGTTTGTACACAGAGCACACACTCCCACACGGATTCACAGTATCTACGAAGTACTCAGTGTCTCACCACTTATGCCAAGCCTAAAACCTCCCAAGGGCATGAAACTGCCCAATAGATATCGGGACCAGATTCAACATGTGGTGTAATGATGATAAGCCAAGTAATAGCCGGAGAATGGCCGGTCGCACATATCGAAGGGAGGCACAAGCTTCAGGGGCATCGCACGTTTCCACAGTTTTGACTCACGGGTCTAGGGTCGATGATCTACCTTTTTGCAATTCGCTGTAGGCAGGTTAATCGGAGCAGTTGAACGTATCGCTGCCCTTGGGCACCAGGTGTAACGCCGGCTATGAGGGTTGCCGGCCGCTCTTGCAGTGCCTATTCGTAATCGAATTGTGGTACAGCTGACGGAGAGTAAATGCCCCTTGCACCGTTTCAAGAGTAATCGAACCATCATTGGGTCTTACTGCTGGTGTAGACACCCTCGAGCAAGCAAGCCATCTCTCTCGAAAGCGAGATGATTGTTGCCCGGTGTCTGCTGCATACAGGTTACACCCATGCCCCACCAAGGTCTCACATGCACCTTGTAGCATGCGAAGTCAATCGATCGCAGCTGGAAGGGATCATCGCAACTCTCCGTCGAAGATCACTTTGAACCACAAAATTAGACCATAATCTCGAGACTCGTACGAGGTCTGCCCGAGCTGACCCGGTGGTAAATGCTCTGACAACCTATCAAGTACGTGTTCTGCATTGCTATGCTTCTCGCCCCGCCAAAGCGCACTGAATGTCACCGGGGAATACCAGCAAACACCGTATGTGAGCCACGCGAAGAATGTCTCTGGTATCCGGCACTAAAAGGATACTGTTCGGCCGACAAAATGCCGAGATGAAATATGCACGTTAGAGAGACCGTAGCAATTCTATTTCATCAGAAGGATTTTGGTGGGTTTTGGTGGGCGCCCACAATCGATATCATCTTACGGACTGAAAGGGAAGGCAGATAGGCAAATGCTCCACTAGGGATAGTCTAGACCATAGGTCAGTAAGAACTAATGATGTACACTGCCGAGGTTGTGAGATCTTCCCTCTTACCTCTGTAGGTCGCGTTGAGGTCCCCTTTAGTCCTCTGTATCCCGGACAGGTGGTGTAGTCGGAGAAACACGGTCGCAACAGCCCGTGCTTTGAAACAGAGCTAATCGAGTGCATATGCTTGTGAAGCATACTGATATACCGTTTCTCACGTCAGACGAGATGCCAGCGGAGATTTACCGACGCGAGCGACCACACATGGGTTGCAGTGCTAACCACAGTCAGCTCAAGATACAATCGCCGGGTATCATCGGCGTCAAACCCCTCCGCATTCAGCGTTCGAGCGGGCCACTGCTTGATCGCCGAGCCATTTGCTTCAATGTTACAGTGTTGAATCCTTATGTTCACATCTAAATGGACGACTGTTAGACAGGGGACGATGCATAGCATAGTAAAATTTGGGCGAGAACCATATCACTTACCGTTGGCGGAGACCCGCTCGAGGCTCCCGTCACCAATCGGGGACCATTCTCGGTCTTACCACGATTTGACTTTCCATTGGTGACGCATCTTGGGGTCTGTCGAAGCCTCCAGCCGTCGCATATCAAGTGTCAGTCTCCTCCCATACAATGTCCGAAGCACCTAATCCTCCTGTTCAAGGCCGCCTTATTAGCCATTTTGCCGACCGGTACGCTGGGAATTTTTGCTCGCATCAAAGGCCCGGACCGAACCTAGCTAACTCATACCAGGAGAGCGGAGGACCAAGGCTCAGGCTGGTCCGCACTCTGGGACTCCAACGAGAGCGTTCTTTGGGATAGAGGGAGTCCTTCAATTGCACTAGTCGATGTAGTAGAGCAGCAGCAGGATGTCTTCTTTCCATATACTCGCGATGGACGAAGGAAGAAAGCTCTCGTTCCGGTAATTCTCTCCCCTTTCCACCAGCCAGTCAGCAGGCCGGAGGTTCGCGGAATCGCTATAAAGAATCTTGTATAATATACTAACTAGCTATGATACTCTTACAGGGCTGTGGACGAGGCTATGATCCCGTCATGTTAGCTCTGCATGGCTTTGATGTCTACGGTCTCGATATATCCGCCACTGGTGTTTCAGAGGCAACAAAGTACGCCACCTCTGAAATGCAGAGTCCACAAGAGTATAACTTCTCCGCAGGAGCCGTCACTACTAGCGATGTAGGGAGTGTAAAATTTATTGCGGGTGACTTTTTCAGCTCCGAGTGGGAGAGTCAAGCTCTACAGGATGGTGACAAGTTCGATTTGATCTATGACTATACGGTATATTACCCCCGGACACCCGGCCTATGTGCTACAGAACAACCTCCATAATTAAGCAACGAAGCTCACAATCAACAGTTCCTCTGTGCCCTCCACCCGGACCTCCGTCGAAAATGGGCTGAGCGGATGAGCCAGCTCCTCCATCCCGGAGGCTTGCTCGTCTGTCTTGAGTTCCCCATGTACAAGGACACCTCCTTACCAGGCCCACCGTGGGGACTGAATGGCGTCCACTGGGATCTGCTCGCGCGCGGCGGGGACGGGATCACTAACATTACTAAAGAGGAAGAAGACGAAGATTCTGGAATTCAGCTGTCAGGGCAGTTTCGGCGAGCACAATACTTTAGGCCTATACGGTCGTATCCAAGCGGCAAAGGCACGGATATGCTGAGTATTTATGTGAGAAGGTGATGGGTAAGCAATGTGGACTGAGTCGAAAGATATTCTCATACTTACGGATACTCAGCCCCGTCGCCAGTTCGACCGCCCAAAACACCCAGGTGATGGCGATTACTAGGGTCTTGTGTCTAGAGGACCATCCTGCAAGGGTGAGATATCGGCTTAATGCCTGAGGCGAGACGGCCGGCGTATGGATTCGGACTAGCGCAAGAGAAGCCCAAATAATGATTGGTGCGGTTGATGAATCATCCCCAAATTTGGCGCTAGTCTTCTTCGAGATTTTCGCGTCATCATCATAGTTCCCCCTTACCTCCTCTTTAACAGTCATCTTCCACAGAAAATTCTGTTCAATGTCAACTCCTCAGCAGATTGTTACCTAGCTTAGGACTGATATATTTAGCTACTGAATGCTTGTGAGAAGACAGCGAGCAGCATTAGGTGCGCGCTGCGGTCCACGTCCGCTTGATGGCGCGTGATCCCGTTCTAAGTTGGCAAAGTGCCAGCTTGTCCCATGCGACAATAGAACACAAGTGGTTTCAGTTCCTACAATTTCGTCAACACCAATCGTCCTGCGCATAAACACAGTTCCGGTAGTATGGGGCTAAAACGATCCATTGACCTCTTTCGTGCAATCGGGACCGTCATCACGAGGCCCGCCGCGGCACGATGCCATGAAATCTCCGAGAATCGGTGATTCAACCCCCCAGACTACTGTCATTGGTAATGTATCCCGAGAAAATCTGCCCGACCCTAGCAGGTCTCAACTGTCCATTGGTTCGGACTCGGGGTGGCTGCCACTCAGCGTGCCGCATTCCCCGCGTTGACCGGATTACGGGGCCCCGCCGGTACTCACTAGCTCGAACCCGGCATGGCTGTCCGAACAGACCCCATACAGTGGTAGCACCAAGCCCGAATTGCTGCGATTAAGGCTTGTTGGCGCCGAATCCTTCGCAATTCCGTCGTTACGTCACGCAGAATATTTGACAATGTCTGGGTGTGAGGGCTGCCGGTTAGACGGACGATGACCGCACTTCGAATCAGCCCACTATAAAGGCGACTCATCGATCCCTGCTGCCGGGCTTCACTTCATCATTCCTCCAGTAAACATCATGCGGTTGGCCTCCGGATTTCTAGCACTGACCTGCCTTGTGCCAGGGATTCTGGCCACAGCGGGCCTCGAATCGTCTGATGCGAATGGTGACAGCCTAACCGTTCGGACTCGTACCGGAGTGTATACCGGAGTAGTTGAGGATCAGTACCCCAACACCCGCATCTTCAAATCCATCGCTTTTGCAGAACCTCCTGTGGCCTCGCGGAGATGGCTACCTCCGGCCAAGCTTCCCAACTCCACGACACATCATACTACATACCATTATCCACCTTCCTGCCCGCAGTTTGTGTCTTCCGCGACTTCCCTGTGGAACCAGTACCTGGGACCCGGGGATGAAATATACAATGGGAATCAAGGGTACAGCTCCGGTCTCGTGGGAGAAGCGACATCTGAAGACTGTCTGTACCTTGCCATCTGGACGCCAGCCAACGCTACGACCGCATCCAAGCTCCCTGTCCTATTCTTCATGACCGGTGGAGCTTTCACCACCGGCGGAATCAACATTGGGTGGCAGAAACCTACAAATTGGGTCGAGCGTACCCAAGAACACATTGTAGTGACTATCAACTACCGTGTGAACATCTTCGGCTGGCCCAATGCGCGGGGACTGAAGGAACAGAACCTGGGTATTATGGATCAGCGCGCTGCTCTGGAGTGGGTATACGAGAACATTGAACAATTTGGCGGTGATCGCTACAAGATCGTGCAATGGGGCCAGTCGGCTGGGTCGCAAAGCGTCGACTTCCACTCTTATGCCTATCATGACAACCCACTGGTATGTGGATACTTCATGCAGTCCGGCACTGCACTCAAGTCACTTGGATTCTCGGACTATGACCAGACGAACTTTACCTTTGTTGCCAAGCAGTTCAACTGTGACTTCCCCAATCCCGCAGCCGAGCTCGAGTGCATGCGACAAATTCCCTTTGCGCAAATCTCAAATTTCATCGGCCAGTACTCAGACAATGGCACTGAACCCGCGCTGAGCTTCAGTGTCGTTCCCGACGAGCGCTTGATTTTCAGCGATTATCCCGCCCGCTCAGCTGCAGGGAAGGTCGCACATCGCCCTGCAATCATCTCCAACTGTGCCAACGAGTACGCATCCTTGATCACCTATCCCGTGAACAATTTGACTGCTGGCCCGGACCCGGATGCCGTATTGGAGGGTGATCTGACTGACTGGATCTGCCCCACGGCCAACTCGACGCTTCTTCGCAACCAGCAAAATATCTCCGTTTACCGCTACCAGAATGCTGGACAATATCCGAACCTGAATCCATTCCGCTGGCTCGGCGCCTACCATGCTAGTGATCTGCCGATGAACTTTGGCACCTATCCTATTCAGGAGTACCTGGGGAATAGCACCACCTTCGAAGCGGAGGTCAGCCGGACCATGCAGGATCATATCCTCGCCTTCCTGAAGGATCCGTTGAACGGACCGCAGTCACTTGGGTGGCAGCCAGTGAACTCCTCGCTCGTATCGGGCGGCAAGGTGCTTCGCTTCGGGGCTGATGGTAAGGCAGTCCAGCAGGTGGATCGTGTTGAGATTGACGGACCGTGCCGGGGGATTGGCCAATACAACCAGTTCCCATAAGTGTCCGGATGATGAGTGAGGCGTAGATACATGTATGCTATGGAGTGATGATATGAGCGACTTGCAGCCTGATTGGATTATCTTATGCCTCTCCTTTGGGCGAAAAGGAAAGGAAAGAGAAAAAAGAATATCTCAACGATTACTCCCGCTATAACATATTTGGCCTAGAGCCGGCGTCAGCGTAAAGCTAATGCTCGGTGACACTTCTTCGTGCTCCGGTCTTCGTTACAGACTCATTGTTGCGGTTGAGTTAGGTGGCTGAAGGAACTTTGAATGACAAAGTTGCGGCGAGCCTGATGTTTCATTTTTGTCACACATTGATATCCGCCGAGTCTGTTGACCTCTTCCATCAAATTTTGAAGTTTATTATCTCCTTCTAATGGATAAGCTCATCAGTGACTCGGTCAAATGCACGGATTCTTGTGTAACGGCCCAATGCAGCAGTTGATCCGGCTCAAAGGGCATGTGTCACGAGGCGGTTGCCCATACACAAGTGACTTATCACGGCGACTTTCCCGGGACCACACCGCTATTACCAATAGATCTAAATAGCTCATCCTATACCCATTACTGACGCTACTTGGCATGACTCGTGTAAGCAGTTATTGTAGGATAATCTAAATTGGATGTTCAAAAGCTCAGCTACACACTGTACTCGTTGCGAGTGCTTCAGCAGTGGGATGTTAGTACACGCTTTCAGCCATACGATGACGTTACGTACTATGCACTTGAATACATCTATGGTTTGTCACTCGAAGCTAGCACCAACCAAGTAACTAGGTAAACTATTGAAATGTCATATCAGCCTTGGACGTTGTATTTCTTAGAAGATCGGCACACGCAGCAGAGGGAGATGGAGCGACCACGTAAGTCGTAAGGCTTTGGGCATTCCAAAACTATGAGAGCCTTTGATGTCCGTAACTTTGCTTTTGTGAGGCTGGAAGTTCTCAGCTGCGGAGTGCGCGATTTTAACCTTTCTTTTTGTGATCTTGGTCTTGATAGACTGATTCTACTCGATCTCTCTTACTATGATCATTACGATCTAATTGGCTCTGGAAACTATCCAAGCCATAATCCATCTTACAACATATCTCATCTTGCTGAGCACATTGGCCCGGGTACGGCTTTCTCTATAAAGGCCACCCAGACCTGCATATTCCGTATGTACTGACAGCACCTTGACACGTCACAGACCTCTTTGTTGCCCTATCGCCCTCTCAACTGATTACTCCTTCAAACTTGTTAACATGCGTTTCAATGAACTTCAAGACCAGTCAGACAAAAGTCTGTCTGAGATCATGTCAGAAGCGAGGTCATTATTGACTCAACTTCTCACAACCGATTCTCCAGCCCCATCAGACCCCATCTTTCGAAAGCTCGATACCCATGAGATACAAGACATGCAAGATAAAGTCATGCCGGACGATCATCCTCGAGATCTCGCTTCCTCCATTCAACAAGCCATGACACTCTTTAATTACCAAATGCGCCTCAGTCACCCACATTGCTTTGCTTATATACCAGTTTGCCCAAACCCTATTGCCCGTCTGGGTGATGCCCTCACTTCCATCTGGAATGTAAATGTTACCACCTGGGATACGAGCTCTGGTCCGAGTGCGGTTGAAAAGGCCATGATCCTCTGGCTGGGTGCCCAGCTGGGGCTGCCAGATTCAGTTGGAGGGTGCTTTGTTTCCGGTGGTTCGATGGCAAACATGACAGCCATAATTGCAGCCCGGGATGAGAAACTCCAACCCTCGCAGCGAGCAAATGCCACTATCTACATGTCCGACCAAACACACCTCTCCGTTATGAAAGCCCTACATATCGCCGGCTTCATGGACTATCAGGTCCAGAAGATACCAACTGATGATGACTTCCACATAGATGTGGATATCTTACGCCAAGTCATTACTGCGGATCGTCAACTCGGACGCGTTCCTTTCCTTCTTGTCGCCAATTGCGGGAGCACCAACACCGGCAGTATCGATCCTCTCCATGAGTTAGCTGACATCGCACGAGATGAAGGGCTATGGCTCCATGTAGACGGTGCATATGGTGCATCCATCGCACTATCCGACAAGCATCGCCACCTGATTGATGGCATCGATCGGGCGGACAGCGCTTCCTGGGATGGCCACAAGTGGCTCTTCCAGACATATAGTTGCGGAATCGTGCTCACGCGGCACGTCAACTCTCTCAGACGCAGCTTCTCCTTTGATGCCGAATATATTAATACTATATTGGCACCGCAGGACACGATTAATTTCAATAAACTCAGTCCAGAGCTCAGTCGCTCCGCGCGTGCGATGTCTCTTTGGCTCACTCTCAAAGTCTTAGGTAGTCGTCGTGTCGGTGAGATGATTGATCAGGGGTTTCTTCTTGCCCGTCAAGCGGACCGTAGTATCCGGCAGTATAAGAACTGGATCATTCCGGCGCCAACAGTTGCTAGCATTGTGGTTTTCAGATATGCACCTCGCGGGTTCAGCGAAGAGGAGCTAGACTCACTGAACAGTGCTATTTCACAACGGCTTTTGATGGAGAATATTGCTGCCATACTAACTACCCAAATTCGGGGACGGAAGACTCTTCGACTTTGTGCTATGAATCCTACCGTGCAGCCCGAAGATATCAGTGATATAATACGTCAAGTGGATAAGGTGGCTCGAGCCGAGGCGTCTAAGATCCAAAAGACATATCCAAGGATGCCTAATATTCTGTGTAGTCATCTGCCAATTTGTCGTGGGTGTTGAAGTTTCTGACTATGCTTAAACTACACTTCATTTCATGTTTCGGGAATAGATGAGTTATGTTTTGGCCAATATTTTCTGTATCGAATTACATGAAGCTTATAGCATGATATCTAGACAAAATCTGTAGAGTTAAGGTTAGTCTCAAGACATCGTAGATCTTACAGGTTCAAGGAATGTCGTATTTGACAAAGGTAATCCAATACTGTAAGATTAGATTGACATCTTCTCTGGCCGGTGAACTTAATGTCCCAGAATAAACTTTACACGTTTCTCTACAGATGCCATCCCTCCTCCCTCCACGACGAGATACGTCGACAGAAGGCTATGGTCCCACTGGTTGATTCAGGTAGCCAACTGGATCAGATCGGGTTGTTTTTCATATTTGCTAGTTCGGGATCTCTCCCCTTGTAACCAGTCAGAGGACTCTTCTGGGTTACTTCTTATATCCATGGTTGTATATTTTTGACTGCCATCAGGTGGCCAGTAAATTTAATTATCATGTGGAAATTGAATATTACTGGGGGGGAGGGGGGTTGACATTGCTTTTTATGTGAAGCACGGTGTCTTACTAGACTTCCCATTCTAGCCAATAGGAGAGCAGCTATTGAGTAATCCCGAGCCCGACCTTACTAACGTTAGCTGATAAAATGTTCTCCGGAACCCCCAACAATGATAGTAATTATCGCATTTACTGGAGGGGAAATATCGTATCTCAGAAAGTAAGATCCATTCCCGTGATCAGTCCGGAGAATTGGGCTTACTTCCCGGTGAGAAAGAAGGAAGGACCCCGGCTCAGATTCGAAACCCGGTTTGCAGATCAATGTGTTTTGAAGATCACTTGACATGATCCAAAGGTGTTGCTGAAATGGTGCAGATGGTTACAGAGTCTTCAAGGTGTTTATTTACTAGAATTTCTCTATCATGACCAAGAAATTTGGAAAATCAGATATGATTCCATTACCCTTTAGAGAGCACACACCACGCTGAGCACTAAGTCCTTCGGGATCTGGACGGACCCATCAGGGATCAGGGATCAGGGCTCAGGGCTCAGTTTTTAGTGCGCCTACGGGTCAAGGGAAGCTTGTCCCAAAGCTTGGTTCGGTGTTGTGGGACGGGTATGGGATCTGGTTGGTCGGTTGTGCTGTCCCTAGTCTTAGCACTGTTGACAGTGAACACAACCGAAAAGGTACCTGGCACAGACCCAAGGTGCACAATGACCCAGAGGAAGCAATTGATTGGTGCTATAAGGCATATTTTAGACAATAAACAATATGGGCGGGAGTAAACGATCAACAATCTGCCTAATTCAACTCACACCGTACTGCAATCAGAAGCATATTTGCCACACTACAACCCAGAACCCAAGCTTATCACAAACGATCGGATCCCCTCGGAATTGGATGGTCCCCGAGCTGACTCGCCCTCGAGCTTAGCGCCATCACCGACGAGATCCCGCATCATGATTCGAAATCGAGACCCCTAGGGTGCATCTTAGCTCCTTCACTAGCGTGCGCTTGACATCATATGCATGGATTGTGCCACTATTTTGGGACTAGGTGATCTCAGAACAGATTGTTGATGGCTAAAGGGCTGAAGCCGTGTGGCGAAGAAATGGCGCAAGCTCATAGTGTGGAATAGAGGGGTCAAGCCGCTGCTGCTGCTGGGACTGCGCTGCGCTGATAAAGCTGGACGATTCCTACGTCTCTGTTTCCCTCTCCCTCCATCTTGATATTTCTCCTTCTCATACTCATTTCAAATCCATACTTCATCCATTCTATACAATCTCTATCAACATAGGCCTTTTTCAAATACACCATGGACTCCTACGGACAAGACAACTTTGGCGGTGGCCGTCGCGGTGGTGGTGACAGTTTCGGAGGCAACGACTCTGGCTTTGGAGGTAACGGCTCCCAGTTTGGTGGAGGTGGCTCTGGATTCGGAGGAAATGACTCGGGCTTTGGAGGCAACGGCGGCGGTAACAACTTCGGGGGCGGCAACTCCGGATATGGTGGAGGTAACGGGCGCGACAACAACAACTTCGGCGGTAACGATTCTAACTTCGGTGGAGGCGGTTCTGGGTTTGGAGGTAATGACTCGGGCTTTGGCGGGGGTGGTGGTGGTGGTGGTGGTGACTCCAACTTTGGAGGCAACGATTCCAGACATGGAGGTAATGACTCTGGATTCGGTGGTAACAGCTCTGGCAACTCTGGCTTTGGCGGTAATGACTCCGGATTTGGCGGGGGCAGAAATAACCAGGATAACTTCGGAGGCTCTGGTGGTGGAAATGACTCCTTCGGTGGCTCCTCTGGTGGCCTTGGCGGCTTGGTGAATAAGGCAGAGGGTTTGTTTCCTTTCCCTATCATTCGAGAAGTGACTGGCTTAGAGGTTGGAAATGGTGACTGACAATAAACTCTTATGAAGGCTTCCTCAACAACCACGGCGGGAACAACAACAATCAGGGCGGCTCCAACAACGGAGGACAGGGTGGTAACACTGGAGGTAACTTTGTCGACTCGATGGTTGACCAGAAGGTTGACCAGTATGTTCCTTCTGGCATGGATGGGGCTGTTAACCAGGGAATCAACCAGGAGGTTAACAAGTTCTTCTAAGTGTTTGCTTCACGAATCATTGATTGCCCATGTCTCTATGCATGGGGAACGCTGTCTGCCAGTAGTTAATATGTTCATGTTCTAAAGAATACGTCGTATCAGTGTCATGCAGGATATTTCCTAAATCACCAGCGCGTGCATTTTTCGTAGCTATATACATCAGTCTATCCAAAGGAAACCTTTAGAGAATTCCAATCATCTGGCTGTACTATACAAGAATAACATCAACCTCACAGGTTGTAGGTGTGCGAGTCGATGTTGATGGTCGACACAGTCCAAGTCTTGCCGTTATCCGAGGTCGACAGTCCGGAGGAGCTGGCCTCGTTGATAGACAAGGTGTCGCCAAAAGAGTTATCCTCGGCGTTCAGGATAATGGTGGTGTCAAGGTACTCTGAGTGTCTCTGTTAATTCTGCTTATTTCTTCCGAAAGACGATTTAGGTACTTACTGTGAGCTCCTGCGGTGCTCTGGCACGCATCATCCTGGCACTCAACTGCCGTGCCCCAGCCCTGGGCTTGTCCCGAGCCTGGTCTTGATCAGTATACAAGCAAAGCCATAGATTATAATTGGTGAAACGCACTGGTCGAAAGAGTTGAGACCACCTCGCCATTGATCGAGACGGTCTGGTCGTACTTTCCCGTGCTGTCGTTGTACTTGTCTTTAGGTAGCCGGAGGTTAGTCTCCGTCCTCGAGGGGAGCCGTGGACATAATAATTGGATGCTTACAGTGCATGGTCACCTTGTCGCCAGCAGAAGCCGGGACTTCCTTGCCACCCAGTTGCGTACCTACCACGAAGTTAGCTTGACCAATATTAATAGAATAAAGCCATGGAGACTCACCTTCAAGGGTGCTAGCCCAGGTACACCACTGTCCAGAGCTGGCACCACAGTTCCTGTAATCACCTATCAACAATTGTCCCGAGCAGTCGTACACTTACTTAATCTACTTACGAGTTGGGGTCAGAGAACGAAACAGCGAGGGCCTGGATCAGATCACCACCGCTTGTACCCATGCCGGGCCAGAGAGCAAGACGGTCCTTCTGGGGGCTAGGAGCCTCGGGCAGAACCAAGGTGGTGTTGGCCTCCCTGATCCACGACTGAGTAGGGCCCAGAGAAAAGTAAGGGCCGAATCCGACCGTGCTCTGGCCGTGAGCGGCACCAATGGCGGCCAGGAAGGCAAGAGCGTCAATTCCACGCATTGTTATGAGTCTGATGATCCGTGATAGGGTATGGCAATAGACTTCGACGGACGGGATAGGCGCTGATTGTGTCTTTTTCCCGAACAGACCTACCCTGTCTTTATAGGTAACGAACCGGACGGCAAAGGAAACATGCCCGTGTTGTTTCAACAAAGGGGGATGACTCCACTCCACGCCGTAAAGTGCCAAATAAGAAGGGCAATTGTTCCGGAACCGCGTGATGGTCTGGATCACCACTTTGTAGACACTTTCGCAACGCTTTCGGAGGAATTGCCGTTTCACGCCCTGTTCGAGGTCACCCCATAGGGTATTTTGCAGACCCTGGGGGATTCTAGCGCGGCCCTAGTGTCAATCCTCGACGCTCCGAGGCCCACCAACGTTTCATGGCGGTCCCGGAAATGTCGATCTCTACCCGGAGAGGCAGAGAGCAATATACTCTGTTATATAGGGCGGTGGGCTGTTTTTGCACGAATCGCGCATGAACCAACGGCATATTGACACTCACTGTATCTCTGAATAATGCTTGCTTTTAGCTTAGACTGAAAGTGCCTCTGCGTCGTATGGACAATAGATTAAGCACCGATGCAGCTGTTCCATTCTGGATTTGGGCTCCCCACAGGACGCTCTGGGTCCCTGTAGTATTACCGCGAAGTCTACAGATGATATTAAGTTAACGGAAATCGGTATGAGGGTGCGAGGCGGGAAATGATAGAGGAAGCCGTGGTCATTTGCGAGAAATACCTAACCATATCCCACAAGCACATGAATTCATAACAGACAATCCCCGATAAATGTCTACATAGTACAACGGTTCTGCCAGGTCTTCGTCTACATGACGAGTAACGGTCTACTTGTTCAACTCAAAAGATGGAAAGACCAAGTGGGACTCAGGTTCGAGAAAGGACTTGGTCTCTGCTACAGATATTTGCCCCACTACCAAGCTTTGGGGCACACGGATCTTACAATTGCAACGCGTGGCCATGGTACTTCGGTTCCTCAAAAGCAGCAGGGCTGATGGGTTCATCGGACCGTTCCGGGAATCCGTCAAAGGACTTGGCGTAAGTCGCAATGGAGTGGGCAACGAGCTAAGGTAAATCATCCCAGTTAGCAAAAGAATGATCGGCATAACAGTAACTAATGCTGGATGCGGTCCTACCTTGGTGTTCCACTCCCACGCAGTCAAGTTCACATTGGCCACCGTATCGCAGATCTGATGGTAACACGGGTCATACCATTGGCCAGCAACCCCACCAAACATGTCCGCTTCCTCGACAGTCTTGATACCCTCTGCTCCCGTGGCAATGCCACCACCCGGGATACCATGCCGAATGAAGGCATCATAGTCGCTGCGTCCGTCAAACGGAATGTACGTGTAGTTGAACCCATGATCTTCGTAAAAGTCGGTGTACAGATCACGAAGCTCCTCAGATCCCTCGGGGTTCACAGCATTAGTGGCATTGTAAACTTGGTACGCAAAGTTCGGCGAGCCGAGCATGTCGTAGTCCATGAACAAGCGGATCTTGCGGTTCTCTTCCGGTGTGAGAACGGACACGTAATAGTCAGATCCGAGAAGGCCTTCCTCCTCGGCGGCCCACCAAGCAAATCGCACGCAGTTGTTGACACGGAACTGGGTGAGCAATGTGGCAAGCTCCAAAAGGGTCAGAGTACCGGACCCGTCGTCATTGATACCCGGGCCCTCGGCCACGCTGTCACTGTGGCCACCCAGCATTACACAATTGTTCGGGTCACCATCCGTGGTCTGCGCGATGATATTGGTGGTGTGGATGGTCTCTACTATCGCATCAACGTAGGCGATAGCGTCCACCTTCTCGCCTTTATTCAACTTCTCCAGGACTGGGGCAGCATCCTCGTCTGAGATACCAAAGGTAGCAACATGATCGGGGGTTGGGTTTCCTAGAGTTCCGCTTAGGTCACCCCGCTCGTTGTTGTAGATGACGGCAGCAACAGCTCCCGCTTTACCAGCTAATTGAGACTTGGTCCCGAACGGACAGCTTCCCCGACTGATAAATGCAACGGCGCCTTTCAAGTTGGACGAGTAGTCCGAGGCCTCACACCCGAGGTTGGATACAGCAACCAGGGAGCCATATACCGGCTCCTTATTCCTCGTTGGGGGAGTGAGACCCATTGGTGTAGCTGACTTGGGAACATCGTGACCAAGGACAAGGCGAGACTCGAAGACATTACCGCTCACGGCAGGGAAGGACTGATTGACGACAGTATAATAATCACCGAGGTCGGTAAGGGTGGAGTATATGTAGTCGAGCGTGCCAAGGTGACCTGGGGAGCAAAGGTTGTCAGCTAATTATCGTATTCCAGGGACATGATGAAAAAATATATCGTACCTTTACTGCCAATGACGCGAGTGGGGTGGTTATACTCGTCTTCTCCCAGCTCCGCAATCTTGTAAAGCTGCCGGGCCCTGTCCAACAGATTCTCCGCCTTGACCTGCTCTTGAAGCAACGGAGAGCTAATTAGGGGTTTATCACCTGCATTTGGTTTCTGCCACTGTGAATTGGAGTCTTGGACCAAGGGTAATTGTAAAGCACCGACCTGGCCCAGGAGGACTGGGACCAGATGTAGCGCCGCGGAGTCAATGCGCATGGTGAGCGAAACAAGGCACTATATGAATAATGATATCTAAGGAAGAATAAGGGATAGAGGGATCCGGAGAGAAGGGGATGGAGCCCGTTGAATGGAGGCTGGAGAGAAGGCGAGACAGGGAGAAGAGCAAACAACAACCTGGGGAGGAATAAATACGAGGAGCTGGGAAGGGGAGCTTCTGCCAGGAACCGGTCAGATGATAAGCGATAAGATAGACCCGTGACACCCACCTGACCTGCCTCATCGGGAAAGGCGTCACGCTCGGCCCGACTGGGTTAGTGCCCCTACAGCCTCATTTTCAAGGCAATTCTCCACCATTCCATCTTCTCGGCAACACCAGGAGTCACCACCCTTCCGACACAAAGTGCCATCCTGCCTCCGCAAAGTAAGATGGGTTTCTTTCTTCGTCCCACTGGGAGTCAGTTTGCAAATCCCGTGCAGTCAATCGGAATCGTTCCGTGGATTCCAACGGCAAGCACAGGGCGCCCTTCCTTTCCCAAACCGAACGGACCCTTTGATCAGCATCACTCGTGAGCTTGGGTCCCCATCGCACTCAGCATGACATTGAATAACTGTTTTGGCAAAGTAGTTAAACAGATAATCTTCCGGTTCTTGCTGTTCCCGGTCTTGACTAAACAATAATCTTCCAGATCGGATTAGAAACCCAAGCCGTCAAACTCCTGGATCGATCCTTCAGGTCACAGTCTAGCCCGATGATATTCGTCCGAAACAGAGCAAGCCATTGCTGGAGTCGATGCCAGCGCAAGGATCTGATACCTGTTCCGCAAGTGTCAGTTGTTGTGATACACAACTAGACGGTCCCTTCTTATTGTAACAAATACTCTTATGACCAGGGGGACACAGTAATGCTGTGCTACGTCTGACTATAGCTACTACTATCGGTCGCCTATATCCGGATACAAGGATTCGGTACAGTTATCGGGAATTTGAACCCCGCCAGTTCCATGGGATTTCCAACGGTCGGTTACCACCCATTTTCTTGGGCCGGAGTTACGTCACTGCAGCCTCATCTAGAACAGACAAAGGTTGGTCAGAGCCGTAGCAGCCCCGTTCTAGATCTCTTGTAACTTGACTTTCCTGTCGGGCATGCTTCTTGCTGTAGTTTGGAATCGAATCGAGCAATTACCACCGTGAGATCACTAGCTGTACGGTCAAGGGGATCATGAGGTCATTGAGGTCAAGATACTCTACGTTTTGAATTTCATCCTTGAAGGCAACGCTTCCCAAACCCTTTTCCGTTAATATACAAGGTATTGACTCGAATATCTGCGAAATGCCAAATTATGAAGCCCAAGACACCCAAGTACCAACATCTCCAGTCTGCATCGCCATTTGGAATTTTTCCTCGCAATGGTTTCTCCTCCCACAAGGTACTGGCGTATTAGCCGTTATTCTTCATCAACTGGACTACCAATTCAAGGGCTTGCGTATTATCTCTGTGATAGTTTGGGTATATACAATTGTTCTCCTGGCACTATGCGTATCCGTCTACCTTGCGCGAATCTTCATGTATCCACAGAACGTCGCACGAGCCCTCCGGACAAGCATGGTAGAGGTATCATGCCTTGCTAGTGTCTCTATAACGTTCACGACTATCATTCAGATGATCGCCTTAGCCGTTGCTCAGCAATGGGGCGCAGGATGGCCAATGGCCTCATACGTTCTGTGGTGGATCAATACGGCTATGGCTTTGTTTGCTGTTATGGGAATACCGTACATTTTCGTGAAGCTACAAGCTCCCGGGATCAAAGCTATTGTACCTGCCGTTCTGCTTCCATTGATATCTGCGTTGACCTCCGCCGCGGGCGGAGGTGTCATATGTGAGTATAGTGGAATTGGTGCTCGACTGCAAGTCCCGGTTATCATTGTAGCATACCTTGAAGTCGGCGTCGGAATCCCCATGGCCATGGCCTTTGCCGATGTCTTCATTGCGCGTCTCTTTGAGCGCGAATTCATGCCCATGGATCAAGTCTACCAAGATATGATTCTCTGTGGTCCGTTTGGACAGGGCAGCTTTGCGCTGCTCATTCTCGGGCAGGTTGTACGATCTGGGGCATTTGCTGCGTACAATCGGGGGTCATTCCTGACCGCTGAAGCAGCGATCCCAATTGGCTTTGCCAGTCAATTTGCCGGTTTGCTCTCTTGGGGCTACGGGACATTTTGGTGGGGCTACGCCATCATAAGTATTTTGCATACTGCTTTCAAACAACCCGGAGGCTGGCGGAGGATGCAGTATTCACTTTCAGCCTGGTCTCTGGTCTTTCCATGGGTGAGTGTATGCTCCTTAATTTTTGAGATTCATGATCTGACAGGATCTTGCAGGGTGTATATGCCAATGGCGCCGTCCAGCTTGGGAAAGTCATGGACTCCCCCGCATTCAAAGTGTGGTCCACTGCACTAACCCTCATGCTTATCATTATCTGGATTGTGAATCACATATTCACCATTAGAGGCTTAATTACGGGGCGAATCCTGTCACTTCAGCATGGGTGGCGGGTCGGTCAATACCAAGCCGGAGAAGTCGATAAGCAGGTCTAACGCGAGTCAGATACAACGGCTATATGCGTGCAATATCTCCAATTTTATTATCCTGTAATATATAGTATCTTCAGTATCAATGGAGTTCCATATCCATTTCACGCATCACATGTTGAACAGAAATGACCGTCTCTGATCACATCAACATGCGCATCCATAATTCAAGACATTAAACTTAATCAAATTTATCATTCGCAGCCTCAAAGGCATCCGCCTCATCCTGGCCTGAGACGCCTCTATTCATCCTCGCACCATCTGTAACAACCACTGATCGGTGACCGGATTACCATACTCATCGACGGTGGTCTCAAAGTATTCCTCTGGACCCCAGCTAGAGGTGGGATCGGCTGCCAGGGATGCCGCAGTGGCTGACTGCGATGAAAATTGCTGTCGATCAGCAGCTCTTTGATTCTGGGTGGTGTTGCGAAGACGACGGCTCTGCTCATCGTTCTGGGGGTATCGGAACGCGGTGTCGGTTTTGGTGTGCGGCATTTTGATTGTTAAGATAGCTACAAATGTGAGCTGACCTTTGTCTTCTTAGTTAGCAATTGGTGGTGCACACTTACATCCACTTCAAAACTCAATCAATGATTCAATACTATGAAGTACTGTTTGATTTCATCTCATCTCATAGTGTTATTAATGGTAGTTCTTCTATGTACATGTACACCAGCCAACGTCCCAATCTATATAATATCCCTCTACCACTAACAGCCCGTAAATGACGTCCCATTTTCCCAAGTCCACCTAATGCATGACGCATTTGCCATCGCCACCATCAATACTTTCCCAAAGACAACATCTCGAAGATTTCTTCTGCCCCTGGTTATCCTGAACTGTGTCTTTCCGATGTGGATAAAGTGGGTCATATAGTGCACGCGGGATGGCTGCCTCGATCTTAATAAGCTTAAGCTTCGCTACAATGGTATTATCCCGCAGACTTTGGGTTTGGGTTGAAGTCGAGGTTTCATCATTGCCATTGTACTCCTTAGAGGCGGTGATATCACGGTGAGATACATACAATTCTATGTGATGATGAAGAATGTCATACATCAGGATCATTGAAATACACCGTTGCCTGAGGCCAGAGTGTTATTCTGCCACCGCCTTTTTTTCACAGAATCCCAGCTGCTTTTTCTGGGACTGTATGTTCTTAAATCCGTTCAAACCCGAGGTATCTTACTCGAGGTTCGCTAGGTTCTACCGGTTTTGACGGACTATATGGCGGTCAATCTTCGTAAAAGTTACCTTTTTGAAAATGAATATGATGCATTGCACTGTCGGCTGTATATCCCTGCTCAAATGACTCTGGAAATATCTTTCTGTTGAAAGCTTTCTGTGCTGAAGTTCGCAAATACATGTTAATCGACTGTCGACTGAGTACACAGGATTCTTCTTACGCTGAATCGATGCCTATTACTATCAAAGTTACTGCTCTAATGTTTGATCCTCTATTTACCACACTGTTTGTAGAGATATTCGAATAGGACGAGGGAGTAGTCCGGAAGTTAAGATATACAAGCAATTAAATTATACAGCCTAGATGAGAAGCAGACGGTGAACTGTGAAAGTATAAGGAAACGAAAACGCCGAAAAAAAAAAAGTCATAACAGGACGTTAGATCATACAGTCATGAGATATCAGCAGGGCAGGCCCAAGTACCACCTCACTTGCTGCCAAATCCTGGGATCGTACTCCCCCAACTCCTGGCTCCGCTAGCAACGGAGGACCCAGCCGACTGTATTCCAGTAGCCAGTCCCTGGCCTGCCTTTTTAGAGTTGTGGACAATAGGATCGGTTGCTCCTCCGAGGGGGCCTCCATAAGAGCCATTTTCATCTTTTCCTCCACGCTCAGCGCGATTGAGCCCCTCCTTGGAGACCATGTTACCGACAGGAGCCAGCAGACCATTTTCGCCCAACTGGTTTCCAACGAGATTATTCACATCGTCTTGGATCTGATCGGCTTGCTTAACGCCGGTGACCTTGGTCTTGGAAAGGTTATCTGGTTGGGACAGTTAGCATAGGCAGAAGCAGATAAAATGAAGAGGAAGCTGGCGTACCCTTGGTCACGTAGGAAGCCTTGTTATCACCTTTGCCGAACCACTTAAGATATTGGTCCTCCAGCCAAGGCATCCACTTCTCGTATTGCTCGTTGTAGGCTTCTTTGACCCACTCCGTGAAGGACTGCTTATTGCGTTGCTCGGCAGGAAGGCTGTCGTATAGCTTGCGCTGTTCTTCTTCGGTGTGGTTGGGCGTGGTAGCCATGGTTTGCTTGATAGTGTCCATTTTCGATGATTAAAAAGCTACTGTTCAACTCAAGATGAAAGAGATATGGTCCAGAGCAAACACGGTTGATGTAGAATGATTCCGAGCATTCTGCCCCTCGATCCTCCACTCAAAGTATATATGTGTGGTGAGATGGACTGGTTGAAGAACGGCATGACGTATGTGGTTTTGCCAAGCTCAGAAACATCACGGTCTTGGTACACAGTACACAGTAGTTATTATGTTCTGATGTATGGATTGCGGACGTTTGGTTCACCTCCCACGGTGGGCTGTGATCAAGTGACAGATGGCGAGGGACGCGTCGACCGGAGCTGGTATGACGTCATGGCACGTTCGCGTTTGCCGTCCGCTGAATTTGCATAAATACGTCACAGCTGAGATAAGTAAAGACTCGTCACCTGACTTATTCACTTTATGCGACTTTATAATATTCCACCAATCGGTAATATTGAAGGCTTGTTGAGACTCGGGGCTGGCCAGAAGAGGAAATATCTGCGGTTGGCCAGAACAACTGACATCTTGATCTTGCAGCTGCATCAGAATCCTTGAATTGTCAGAGTTGTGGATATGTGGTCTGTCGTGGTCCGTGACCCTGTTCTCGCATTCCCTTAAAATGTTACCCGATTCTTAGATATCAAAAGTACCAGTAGTAAGTACTACTGGTATGCTTATCTAGAATTGACACTCGATCAGTTGAATAACGGTTGTAGTGCACACATGATATCAAAGCTAGGTTGATCCTGAACATAGAGGTCTACATGCGGCAAAGAAGGACGACTAGACAGTTTTGATGCATCAGCTGCTACCAGCGAGATAGCCTGCATATTATACTATTCGTATTGTGACAGAGAAATAGGTACTAGCAGAAATACCGGGAAGTATCACTTCACTCAATGGGTGAAAGAGCATGTGGTGTTGGCTCGTTTACTCGCTAGATGGATTTGGCGGCCTCACATCATCTACACTGCCTCATCAAGTTCAACAACTACTTCACCCCAGAATTTCTGATTCTCTATGGATTAAATTCCATTAAGATTCCATATATTCGTTCTGTGTGCTCATGTAGGGTCGCTAACTCATTCGAACAAATATAGCCCATCACGCCATTTCGTCATGGGTCGACACAACTCCCTTTTCTTGGTCAGCCATGTCCTTGTGCTTGTGTCGCTCAACTTCTTCGCCGAAGCGGTCATGAATCTGGTGCGTCTTCCAGGGCTTCATGTCCGTCTCAAACATCAAGTCAATGTCTTCAAGCGATCGTCGAGCAGTCTCCGGGTAGAAAAAGAACACATGGAACGTCATCACAGTGCAAAAGACACCGAAGATGATATAAGTCTTCCACTGAATGTTGGTGAAAGCAGGAGCCACAAAGTACGCCAACGCGAAGTTGAAAATCCAGTTACCCGCAGCTGAGAGACCGACACCCTTTGCACGGTACTTAAGGGGGAAGACTTCAGAAGCATAGATCCATGCTACTGGGGCCTATTTCATGTCACGTTAGCTGAGGCTGACCTTGAATCGTCGCGAGGGATTGAAAACAACAACGTACCCAGGTGAAACCATAAACGGCAACGAAGATGTACGAGCAGGCGATGACACCTTTGCCGGGTGGTCCCGTAATTGACCACTTCAGGTTCGCATTGCCATCGACCGAGTCAACATGATGACCACGTGAAGCCATAAGACCAGCAATAGCAAAGTGGCAAGCCATGCAGAGGACGGATCCAGTGAGGAGCAAAAGCCGTCGACCGATACGATCAACAAATGGCAGAATAGTACCCGTTGTGACTAAGAAGATGACGTACTGGATGGCTGACGAGTACAGGGTGGTGTTTCCAGACTAAGAAAGAGCGTCAGTTGAGCTTCATGGCCTGCCTCTTGAAGTAGAAATAGACTTACCATGCCAGCCATGTTGAAGATGTACACGACGTAGTACATCGCAACATTGCCTCCGAGCAACTGCTGCCAGACCTGGGCGCTGACACCGCAAAGGGTTCGCTTCCAAATCTTTGGTCCGAACAGTGAAAAGAAAGAAATGTCCTTGGCCTCCTGGGCAATGCGTGCTGCTTCCTGCACTTCTTCGTATTCCACTTGGACCACGGGATCGTTGCGGTCGCCCTTGGCATGCAGCAGCGCTAAAGTATCCAAAGCCTCCTCCCAGCGCTCTTTACTTGCCAGCCAACGAGGAGATTCGGGGAAGAAGGGTAATGCGGCAAGTAGGATGAGGGCCGGGATACCCTGAACACCCCATGATACTCGGAAAGAAGCTGCTCCAGCCAGACCTTGGCCGCATCCGTACGAGATCAGATACATGATGAGCATACCCCATTCGATGGCCCATTGCTGAATGCCGACGATACGACCACGAATCCGAGCCGGAGCTAGTTCAGCGAGATAAACGCAGACCTGTGAGGATGTAATACCGACTAGAAGAGTTGCTTAGCACGTGCAGGACTCCAGATATACAGCTGAGGATTCATACCGGACAGGCCGCTGATAACTCTCCCGGCGACCAGGTGGGCGACATTTTGGGCGCTACATTGAATCGCAGCGCCGATGACCCAGATGCAACACGCTAGCATAAGGGAGTAACGACGACCAATTCGGTCTGATATGAAGCCGGCAGCGAGTGCACCGGCAAAGGAGCCAGCAGACATGGAAGCGGTGATCTAGAAGTGCCCCATCCTACCATCAGTACTTCGTGTCCATACTGCTGCTCTGGGGGAGTGGCTTGGTTACTTACACCACCTTGCAAGTCGGAATCTGGGTGGTTGAAGTATTCCAGATACTGATCCGTGCCAATCCAGGCACTCATGGAGCTGACATCGAAGCCGAACAAGGCACCGCCAATGGTGCCGAAGCCAGCCAGGACTGTGACTCCGTTAGCTTTAGCAACGCGGCCGCCGTCAGATACCTAAGCCATACCGTAGATATTCGAAATGCGATACATGATGTCCGACGGTCTCACCGAGCTGTTCACGACGAGTGGACTGCAACCGGGGTGGAATGCGGAGAAGCAACCCGGGACCCGGGCTACATTTATAGAGCACTTAGTGACTAGCTGCCGAAGCTGCATCGCGCCGGTACGGCTTCAACGGCATGGCGTCACAGACGGACTCGTGGTGCAGTGGGTGGTGCGAGACACGCATGGCCGATAAACCCCGAAAAAAGGAAGGATCGCCGGGCCTTAATGCGGAGGTCCGGGGATTCAGGATGGAGCACGAATCAGAGATTCCGGGGACGGACGGGGTCTGCCTCCCGAGTGGAGGGCGTCACGGCCCCGGATCCAGTCGGTTGATTCTGCGACGGAGATTTTCCCAGTTCGTGCCTGCCGTCCGGCTGAATGCCATTTTAACCGAGTTCGGGTGAATTGACACTGCCAGGGAAGTCAGTGGCCCATTTCTGGAGACCTCCATGCGGAGTAATTATTATCACTCGTGAACTGGCTCTCGTCATTGAATCCTGTCTGTCTCGGTAAGGCTTCGCTTGAGATCCATGGCATGTGCTCGCGACAGCCCGACACCTCGCCATTCATGGGTTATCCAGACAGTGCCGACAAGAAGGGTTGAACGTATTCTCCGCTCGGCCACCTAGACGCACTTACTAGGACATGGAATTGGAGGTCGGTTCTCTGGTCACATATTCAATCAAATAATTGCAACGTGATGGTTGCTGGCAACACGAATACACATGCATGTCTCATGGCCCCAACTTTGACCTTCCCCATCGCCTATTCGCCCATCATCATCTTCACTCATTAACGAACGTAAATGATCTAACTGGGCAACCCCAACTGCCAATCTCAATAAATCGTAGAACACTATATAAGAAAACATGCGTTCGAATATCTTCAAAGTGGCTGCCTGGGAGTGGCTGGACTACCCGATTAGCCCATCCCATGGCTTCGGGTATGCCTATTGTCACCCCGTCGGAGGCGTGCTCATGACCAATCGGAAAGATCCTGGCACGGCTACTGTTTGATCATAGCTCCTGACTGCATCTGACTCTTGTGATAATATCAAAATCAATGAGTAAGCGGATATTTATGCAGTTTTCCGCTGCGGATATGGGCTACTGGCACCGTGTGTCAGAAAACGACAGATGGATTCAGGGAATTCCCCAAAGAATTGCTAGGGGGTGTCGACCGATTCCATTCTCAGATTTTCAGGCTACGTAAAATATGTTGCTGGGGGTTTGGAGAGATTTATCTTTAGACGGGTTCCAAAGCCCTTCGCAATCTCCAGCAGCCAGTGAGTCATCAACTTGGTTACTATGATGATGCACCTCTGAGCATGGTTACGTTTCGCATCCCTGGCCTAGCCCTACTATTCATCTTTAAGCGGATCCTGCAAAGTGCCTGCGTGTCTCCACTACTAATGCGACGGTTGGGGGAAGGTGAGACGAGATCCGATGTTCCCATCTGTCCCTTGCTCCATGTCAAATAGAGTCCCTGAGCGTCGGGGACCAACAACGCCATTATGCAGCCAGATACTAACCGTCAGTGCCGTTCGAACTTTGTTCTATAGACAGACTCTCGCACATGCACGCAATTCCATTGCTGAAAGCGCTTTTGAAACAACATCGCAACACGCCGTTTTCTGACCAGGATGTGCACTCTCACAAACTGTCATTGGACGCAATTCGAATCCTAATCATAACAATCCACCAGCACTAGAAGCAGCCCATATGCTCAACATGGAATCAGTTCTTTGCACTAGTGGTTCCTTGCTCTGGGATTATTGGCCGCCCGAACCTCTAGTCGTTCAAAATGTCCCGGAGAATTACTGGAATGGTCTACAGATGTCAGGCATCCCAAAGGAACTAGCTTGTACCATATACTACCCTTTCCAACGGTTGTGGCAGCCGATGCTATGGTACACTCTGCCATAAACTTAGCCGATGCATGGGATGTCTGGGGAGCTTTAGGAAAGGTAATCCTTCCGATCGCTTATAAATCGATTCTCCACTAGCTCCATGTCGTGGAGCTTTATCTGAGCGCCAATATCACCGGTGGAGAAGGTGGGATGGCGGAGACCCTGGTTCCTGAGGAGCGGTCTAATGACTCACCACCGCCTATGAATGCCGAGCCAGTGGCTCAATTCGCGAGGTTGATGCTTGCACTTGGGATGTCACACAAACCATCACCTCGCCTTCGGAGATTTTATTCGAGCCCGGTACTGATTATGCCTATTACCCGCCCAAGATGAGAGGTTCCTACCTCTCCCAAGCTGGAGATGTCTCGTGAGAGCTCAGGAGCAAATACGAGATATCGTGACTATGCTGAGTTGATCCGATCGTCTAGAAAAGCCGCCTTACGTCAACTTCCATCCTCACGTTTAACTCATGTCATAGCTATGACGGCTCTTTGGCTACATTTACTCCAAACCTGCGTGGTAGCTGAAGGTTCTTTAGCGTCCTTGTTCATCGGCTGAAATGTTCGGCATACAACCGATGCACAATGAAACGAACGAAACAATGAATACCAAATTAGTTTTATTGTTTTGCGGAAGCTGGCCAGGGCCCGCCGCGCAAGGGAGTTCGTGACTACAATGGTGTATCTAGGAGTAGCTGAAGGCACCAAAGCAGCGATAAACAAGCACAAGCACTGGCGACCCTAAGTGATGGGATCAATATGAGAGAGCATACTCCAGTTATCATCAAGCTGATCTAGCCGATGTCAAGGATGAATGTCAATCTCGACTCCCAATCGGGGTCAGTGGTCACAATCGAATAATGAGGGTGACAGGTTTGAGTCGAGATGCAAGGGACGACAATTTCTGCCGCAGGTATTGCAGCTTCGGGCATTGCCCCCGCAGATCCGACTACATGGCTGAGTGTCTGGCCTCTCTGTACGCCTTGGAACATCCAGTGACTACTGAATTAGCGGTGCGTTCGAAGCCAATCATTGATATGGCTGCCGAATTCAGAACTCAGGAGATACTACTCCAGAATAGTCACCCTTCCGAGACTCTTCGATAACACTGATCCCCAGAATGAGAGAAAAGGGCTCCTCAGCCGCTATACGTTGGATTAAGTTGCAATGGGCCACGGAAATGCCAGACGACTGTCAATCGGAGCGATGCGACCGTAGAAAATGCAAGGGTCTCGGGTCATGTAAGTAGGGTTCGTCTACAGGGCAATAGCATCGGGGCAATATAGAACGAAAACAAGCTAACTGAGGGATTAAGCTCTCCATGCAAGATCTCAATCCACGATCGGTTACGTACGTGTCGCATGGCCGGCAAGGTTGCAATGCCAGGTAGGATATGGTAGCCACTGAGGTTATTATTGTGCTTGCCTTGCCGGCCAGCGCCCAATCGGCGAGTCACCCACCACTGGTGGCCAACATCCCATAAACTTTTTACCACAAGAGTTTACTGTCAACTCACAAGAAAAACCTAGCAGGCATCAGAATCCGACCGTATCTCCGTGGCTACCCGCATCTCCTTCGATGCGTACCGGACTGACACCAACCCGGGGGGGTGCAGGCGGCGCAGCAACAGCTCTGCAGGCTGCGAAGGCTAATTCGATAGCTTAATCCACATCCCCTCAGAGGGGCCGCAGGAGCCAGGCTCTAATGATTTCTCGCCTTTGCCCTGATTGGCTTGTCAGCCTACGCATCCGATTACCCCAACGGCAGAGAGATAACAACTTAGACTAACCACCAGACTAAGCGTCTATCTACCGCGGCCAGAGATAACCATCCTTCGCCCAAACACCGATAGCCGGATGTCTCGACCCCTGACGACTTGGATAATCTCCGTCCCCTCCTTGTGTCTTCATGTACTCCGCACCGTTGGTTAGGTCTGGATCAACCCGGCCTCCCCCCGCTGTCTCAGCTACCAGGTCGGTTGCCCATTGTGTTACCGCCGATCCCGGTGTCCAAGAGGTAAGGGATATGGCACACTTCGGGAACAGCCTTTCCACGCTCTACCCACGCGATCATGACATGAAGTGGTCATCTATCGGCGGACTGACCTTTCCTGGGCCTTCACCCGCATTGGCTGTACCACCTATCGTCCCCTCCGGCCCAAGCCTTTCGAAGTCTATAATGTAACCCTCTCGACTTAGAGGGCCCATGAGGCGCACTCAAAGAGGTATCATTTGCGGAAATTCGAGGGAGTAGATAACATGGCACGCCCAATTGCCCAGAGGGATCTGGAGGAGGCATATCAGCTGATGGCACAGACCGTGTGGTTCTGATAACGACCCACGGTCGAAGCGCTACAATTGGCAGCCGGGGCTTTGGTTATCAGCGATGTCACTCCAAGATCATGGCGTAACCTATCCTTCCAGAAGGTTTCTGCGCCTGCGTCAGTTCGTCCGATGCAGGATGCTAATAAAGTATGCGGCACACACGATACGACCGGGCCAGGGGTGTTATCTTTATCTCTGCCTGATACTAGCCAAGCCCGCTAATGGCGTGATACCAGACCTCTTATCTGGCAAGTATATCGGTTGCTGCAATACGCATGTCTGATTGGGAGGGAGACGTAAGCTCTTGCTCTGCGTTGCACGGCTGTGGTGGCAATGTTATAATTCTCCTTATCCCCCGGCCGCGGTCGACGAGGCTTGCTGATTTTTGTCTCTTTCATCGTCTTGGATCTTGGCCTGTTCTTTTTCTTCCTCTTGTATCGACCATCCCTTAATGATGGCCGATCACTCTACCATGGCGACCTACGAAACGTCGAGTAATCGGAGCCCGCAAGATGCTGAGAAGAAAGGCGAGCCCATGGAGCGCTGGGCATCTGTGGATGTTGACTACGGTGCTGAGACCGATCTCAAGCGGAGCTTGTCCACGCGGCATCTGACTATGATTGCGCTGGGATCATCCATTGGTATGGGATTATGGCTGGGAAGTGGTGAATCGCTGGAGAATGGTGGTCCGGCAGCCATCTTCATTGGCTACCTGCTGAGTGGTACGATGATATGGTCCGTCAGCCACTCCATCGGTGAGATGGCCGTTATGTATCCTCTGCCATCCGCATTCACTCAGTGGACGGAGATCTTCATCGACAGATCGGCTGCCTTCGCGCTGGGCTGGGCGTATTGGTTCTCCTACTTCATCACGATCGCAAACGAACTTCAGGTAGGACATACGTATCTGGGTGGCTAAGAGTTCTGTGCTGACTGCTTAGGGTATCGTCACGGTCCTCAACTTTTGGACAGATAAGGTGCCCATTGCGGCCTGGATAACAATCTTCTGGGTGGTGATCATCTTTATTAATGTTTTTGCGGTCCGGTTCTTTGGCGAGGTGGAGGTCATTGCCTCCTCTATCAAGTTTGGATGGATCTTCGTGGTCATTATCTCTCTGATCGGTTAGTCGCGTGCGCATGATCTCCTTTTCATCGAATCCTCCAACTGACGCAAACCCATCTCGTGTTTGATAGTGGTTTCGGCCGGCGGCGCGCCCGACGAAGGACCGATCGGCTTCCGTTACTGGAACTCGATGCCATTTACCAACGGCTTCAAAGGCTTTCTGTCCGTCATGCCCACCTGCATCTTCGCCATGTCCGGATCGGAGAACTCGGCGCTGGTCGCAGCAGAGACCGATAACCCGCGCAAGGCGGTGCCACGCGCCGTGAGCTCGATCTGGTTGCGTCTATCGCTGTTCTACGTCTTGGGATCGCTGATGATCACCATCACGGTGTCACCGAAGGATCCTAACCTTTTCGGTGGCAGCGGCGTCAACGCATCGCCATTTGTCATTGCTTATCGCAACGCGGGTCTTGCTCCATTGGCACACATCATGAACGCGGTGATCTTCATCTCTGTGTTGTCCACGGGAAGTATCTCTGCCTATGGTGGTTCGCGGACACTGATGGGGTTGACACACTTGAATCTTGCGCCGAAGGTTGGTCTTCGCTCCCTCTCAATATTATCCAGTTCATCAATTACCTGTCTGAGTCTCGTCACTAACTCATCTGCCTACAAACCTAGATTTTCGGCAAGGCCGACAAATCCGGTCGTCCCGTCGCCGGACTGGTCATCACGCTCGTCATTGGCGGCGGCCTGGCCTACCTCAACGTCAACAACAAGGGTTCGACGGTCTTCACCTGGTTCTCGAACCTGACCTCCCTCTTCACGCTCTTCGGATGGGGCACCATCTGCCTCTCTCACCTCCGCATGCGCTACGCCTGGAAGATCCAAGGCCGTTCCGTCGAAGACCTCCCCTGGCGGTCCTGGACCTACCCCTACGGGGCCATCTGGGGCTTGACCTGGTGCATTCTGCTGATCATCGCCGAGTTCTATCTCAGTTTGTGGCCACTGGGCGGCAATCCCACGGCCAAGGGCTTCTTCGCGAACTATGTCTCCGTGGTAGCGATCGTGGTGCTGTATATCGGGGCGCGCTGCTACTACCGCGGACGGTGGTGGGTGGATGCGAGCACGATTGACCTCGATGGCCCTCGGCGGTTCTATGCCGATGTGGCGGATGTCGAGGCGAGGCCGGCCAAGACGGGGGTGAAGAAGTATGCGTCGATGGTGGTGTCGGCTATTCTTGAGTAGACACTCGGTGTGATGTAGGTAGTAACTTGTAGGGTATATGGTAGGTTTAGGTTAGGCGTATATATTGGTTGGCTTTGTCAATGTATATTCTTCATGGAAGTTGTGTATTCATCTTCATTGTTTCTCAGTTTGGATTCCGCCCCTTTCAGTTGCAGCACTCTACTGCCATCGTCACTTTCATATTGGACCGATGTCAGAGACCAAGGTGCCTTGTAAAAGGAAGCGATATGCAATCGATAGTGCTACAATCAATACATAGTGCTATTTGAGTGCCATTATGATTATTTCCAGTACTACTAGTATAGTAGTAGTAGTACTGAGGGGAGGAATACCACAAATATATATTGTCGCGAGTCCCGGAAGTCCAGCTTCACTTAGACCGCGAGAGTGTCATAAATGACCACTACTTACACATTGAACAATCAATCTGCAAACTATTACTACTACTACTACGATGACGGTGTAATTACTATAGACATACATACGTTCAACATGGAGCTCGTCATAGTGATTTCTCCCTACAGTAGAATTATTCCCCTCCCCCGCCCTCTGACAAGGATCGCGACTCTCACCGCCCAAGGCATCATAGCCCCTCTCTTTCTCCATCGCCCAAGGCCGAGGGGTATGTACGGTACTTTGTACGAACTCCTGACTGTGAAATTATGGGTTTTCATCGATGTTGAAGCTGGGATAGGGTGCAGATGGTGGATGCGACCGTGGGAATGATGGTTGCGTGCGCCATTGGGGGGTGAGGGTGGTTCGGGAGCGGGGTGATATCGAGTGTCGCGTGTGCGGACCGTACGCAGGGTATATGGATGGGCATTCTCCTGCAAATTGAATCTCGCATCGAGAGAAGAAGTGGATGCTACTGCGATTTGATCGAAGTGACAAGCCTCGTCGTTAAGCCTCGTCGTTGACATGCTCAGGAAGTTCAAAGAGCAGAGCACCGATTTCATGCCTTGGTGCCTCAGGTATTGTATTGGGTATCTCGGGTGCGATCGCAAGGCAAAACCGGATTATGGATGGCGTCGTCTATGTCAGCAAAGTGGATTGCTCCAAGTAAGCTGATCCCATTGACGATGGCCAGGCGAGCCAGCTGTTCACTCGATTAGGCCGCGTTGAGAGAGGTTGGACCAGTTGGGCCTGATCGGGTTGTCCATACGCTCCATTCTCTCGACAGCCTGAGGCAGCGGCAGCCGCGATAGACTCTGGGTTATTTTCGCATCACATGTTTATCAGCTGCGAAGAGGAGGACTTCCTTCGAGTGAGTCAGAGAAGACCGGAAGAATGACGTTAGATGTGCTCCGCACCGCATTCCACAGGCTGTGTCTAGTCTAACTAACTATCTGGTGCCTGGAGGAAAGCCAGGCAAAAGAGGAGAACACGAAGGGTCGAGGATGGCCCGCAGGCGGAGAGACCCATCATAAGTATAAGCCGGAGGATAGCCAGAATGCAGGAAAGCATTGATTTGGGAAAGTCGGACGAGGCGACAGCTCAAGTGGCTCAGTTGGGTGAGTTGGCTGGGGAACTGATAGGCTGCGGATGCGCCAGATCAGCAACTAGTCTTAAGAGTATTTCTTTCTATCGCGACTGGTTCCATTGCAGCAGCCCTGCAGCTGCTGGTTGTCAATCCACCGCATCACGATCACATCCCCCCGTCCCCATCGACATGGATGCCTGCCCCTTGGCCAGGGCGTCCCCCTGGTCTCCATTCTGCTTCTTCGTTGTTTCATGTTTCGTGTTTCAGCAAGGTCGATTCGCGACACTTGGAGCATGCCTCTCCAGGACACCAGCCATCATTTCCCCCAGATGAGCTCCACCCGAACAAGCTCGTCCTCGATGACAGGATGCTTTGCCTGGCCGTTGGGCTGCACAAGTGGCGGTGAATGGCTTCACTTTTCGTCCAAACCCGGAAACAACCAACCATGGCTGGCTTCCGGCCACACACTACCTGTCGCCCCGTCATAGGCAGTCCGGAAAGAATGGTGTCTGACTGACTGAACTTCCCTTCCATGACTGCCGGACTGCTTCACTTCTCGGGGATTTCTGCTGCCCAGCCGGCATCGCTGTTAAATATGGCCATGAGGACGCTGGCTCCAGGAGATTTTCCCAAACACTGCAACCCCCCTCCATGACCATCTGCTGCTTTGCTCCTCTGTGAATGACCAACAAGTCTTTCATCTTTCATCCCTTCATGCTCCCGATTGTCGGGCCCCTCCTTGCACGACTGTTTGTCTATCCGTTTCGCAACATGGACTGCTCGATGACCCGGCCGTCATCGACATCGCGGTTCCCCTTCTTCCCCTTTTCGCTGTGGTCCTCCAAGCGACCACAGCAGTCGACCGCGTCGACACAGACTCCGGCGCAGACCTCGCCACGCATCATGGCACAATCCCAGACACAGATCCAGGCTCCTGCCCGATCAGAGCCTGAATCACAATCACAACGACAGCCCGAGAGTCTTCCTCGGACTCCGGTCCCTCCCCAGCCGACACCAGAGGAACTGGCCGAGCGCGACCGTCAAAATCGCGAGACGGCCCGCGAAGAGGCTGTCCAGGAGCTGGACAGTCTAGTCGGCCACGACAACGTCAAGCGCCAGCTGCACGGCGTCCAGACCTGGGTGGAGATCTGTCGTCGCCATGGACGCGACCCCAAGAGCGAGTGGTACAACATTGCCTTCCTGGGGAATCCCGGCACAGGCAAGACCACGGTCGCCCGCATCTACGCCAAGATGCTGTACGCCATGGGCATCTGTGATTCCCATACCGTCTGTGAGACCACTGGGGCCGACCTGGCCAGCCGGGGTCCCGACGGAGTGCAGCAACTGCTGCGCAACATGACGGACGCCAAAGCTCCGGTCCAGACGGCCGGAGTGCTCATCGTCGACCACCCCCACACCCTGATGGACGCGCCCCAGACGCCGGCCACCGAGCAGGCTCTTGAGGATATCCGCCACGCGATGGAGCGTAATATCGGTCGTATTATTGTCATCTTCACTGGCGACGCCGATGAGATGAATAGCTTCTTGCGCGAGAACCCCGCCCTCCAGCAACGCATCTGCAGCTCGCTGCGCTTCAACGACTTTGACCGCCAACAGTTGACGCAGCTGCTAGCCCGCCGCATCATCACCGAATACAACGGTCGCATGCAGGTCGAGGGTGGCCTGGAGGGCACCTACATGCAGGCTGCAGCTCGCCGGCTGGTCCGGGGGCGTGCCGCCAAGGGCTTCACTAACGCCCATGCCGTGCGCGAGATGGTCAAGAGCATTGCTCAGCGTCAGGCTCAATGCCTGACCGACCAGCAGGACAGCGGTATGGACGAAGTGGACTACTTTTTCTTTTCCAAGGACGATGTTCTTGGTCCCAGCCCGGCGGAGACCCGGTCGACCAGCGAAGCGTGGGAAGCCATGCAGAAGCTGATCGGTCAGGACGCCGTTAAGGCCTCGGTTGCTGAGGTCTTCGACACGACCGAGGAGAATTACTACCGCGAGATCCGCAACCAGCGTCGTCTGCCACTGCGGGTCAATCGCATTTTTGCGGGGCCTCCAGGCACCGGCAAGAGCACGGCCATCCGGATGTACGCCCAGATTCTGGTGGATTTGGGTGTTTTAAATAATGGAGAAGGTAAGCGCCCAGCCCAGATCTACTATGAGATAAGTACTGACAAGTTTAGTCCGTGTCAAACCGCTGTCGGCCCTCTGTGATCTGCCTGAAGAGCAACTCCGTGCGACCGTCGAGTCGACGATCGGCAATGTCCTCGTTGTCGACGTCGACACCGATCGCCAGGAGCGCCCGACCGTGCCGGACGCGGTCGTCGACATCCTCGCAGCGCCGCGCGACAACCACTGCACCATCCTGGTCGGTACGCATGACAGCATCAGTCAATTCCTGCACCGCGCGGGCCCCAAAGCTCGCGGGTTCGAGACACAGCTGGTGCGCTTCTCTGCGTTGACGCGCGAGCACATGGAAGAGCTCTTCCAAAGCAAGCTCGACGAGCAGGATCTCGATGCGACTCCGGAGGCCTTCCAGGCGGCCATGGATACCCTCGACAACGCACGCATGCGCAAGGACTTTGACAATGCCCGCGCCGTCGAGCATCTTCTCGCTGCGGCTATCTACCACTTTGAGCGCCGGTCACGCACGGGTGCTAGCGCTCAGCCAGTTGAGCGTATCCTCGAGGGACGCGACTTCAACCCGGAGCTGGTGGGCGGCACGACGGCGCTGGTCTTCCGCGAGGAGCTGCGCCACTCCATTGTGCCGGACGATATCATTTCCATCTTGAAGCGGTATCATAATGAAATGAAGGCTGCCTGGCTACAGGGGCTGGATCCGGGCGCACGCATGCCCGCCGCGTTTGTATTCAAGGGTGCACCAGGTAAGAACCCCATATACCATATCCATGCAATTGCAAATGGCTAACAATATCATAGGCACCGGCAAAAAGACCGTCGCCCGCCAGCTGGGTACCCTGTACTACCGAATGGGCGCCCTCAGTGACGGAGCCCTGGTGCCATGCTCGGTCGCCGACCTACTCGCACCCGACGTCCACCCGACCTCGGTGCGGTCGCGATCGCAGCTCGACCAAAACAAGGGCAAGGTGCTCTTCATCGAAGACGCCCACCGACTAGCCGATACCGACACCACGCAGGCCGTGGACGAGCTAGTCTACCTACTGCCCAAGTATGCCTCCACGATGGTGGTGATCCTGGCGGGACCGGCCCAGGAAATGGACCAGTTGCTGGCCAACCGGCCGCGCCTGTCCGCCCTCTTTCAGGAGGAGATTGTCTTTCGCAACCCAACCCCACGCGAATGCCTTCGTCTGCTGGACCGCAAGCTGGACGAGCAGCAGATCAAGGGTCCTCGGTTGTACCTGACGGACCCGCGCGCGCCTAGCCATCGCGAATTCACCCGCGCCGTACAGATCCTGTCCATGTTTCCTTGCTGGAGCAATGCTCGGGATGTGGAGGTGTTGGTGCGCTGGATGGTCGCGGCGTGTGTCAAAGACCTGCCGCTGGATAATAGCAGCAGTGTCAGTGCCCTGCCGGCAATGCAGTTGTCTGAGGAACAGGCGATGAGTTGCATGGTCAGGCTGTTTAATCTGAAGCGTGATCGCTTGAGATTCAATCAGGATCCGAAGGCTAGGGCTTTACCCAGGGTGTTGTCGCAGCCTAGGTGTACGGATCGGACGGGTGTGAAGTTTCCTGTCTGATTTGTCTCGGTTTAATGACTTTTGATATGTTTTTCTTTGTTGTTTGCGATGTTTCTTATGTGATATGCTTTGGTGGATTATGTATTGTATCAGACTGATGATCTAGCGTGTGTTTGTGCTTTTGGTTTTATGGCTTATGTTGCATCTGCATCTGACCCTCGTCAATCATTGAACTCTCCTTTGTCTTGTGATTTTTGCATGGATGCTTTGGCATGTATGGTGCATCAGACGGATTACTGAACGTCGTGGTGGTGGCATTGACTAGTATACCATTAATATAAGGCTGGTCCTATCATAAAGACTACGATGAGAACTTAGCATTTTACTGGAGGACTCATTGATTACTGTAACAATTTATATGATTTGTGCATTTCTCTCACTTTGTTATAATGCCAATTCTCTAGATCTTCACATATCTCTCTACCAATACAGCAAATTTACCACGTAGCATATTTACCACCGCATCTCATCGCCCCAACTCAGAATCACCCATCTATGAATCTACTCTTCCAAAGCCAAATACTCCCCAACCCACTCCGCTGCCCTGCAACCCTCTCCCTCACTCCATCCCCAGACCCCCTTTGCACCAACATACCCATCCGGCCTCACAACCATCACCCCTACCTGCCCCCTCTCCATCTCTCCCATCCACTTCTTAGTACACCCCTCCCCGCCTTCAACATCATCCAGATACACTGTCCATCGACTCTTCTGCAACAATTCCGGCAAATCTCCCAACTCAAACTCCCTCTTCTCACTCCTCGTCACCAAGCCATACGTCACCACCTCCGAAACAGGGGTATACCTTTCCAGTGGAGAATACTTATCCCCGTCACTCAGTCCCCGAGGACACTTCTTATATGACTCCTTTGCCACAGAATGCACCCCCTCCAAGGCATCCGCCCCACAAAACCCCTCCAAAAACCTCTTCCCACCAACTACATCCCCCACGAACAAAACCACCMTAAACTGTCCCATCATCGGGATATCAAGCTGCAGATCCACCGGATTGGCATCAATATACCTCGTCACCTTAGCAGGACGGGTCAATGTCCCCGGCTGAATGCCACCCTTCACTTTACTTTGAGGAGATTTGGTAACAACACCAGCGTCATACTCAGCCCCAACACCGGAAATAAACCGGATGTTCTCTTCAAAGTTCCTCGCTAGGGCGGTCTCGCCTTTCTCGAACGCCGCGACGTGACCCGCGTCGAAGGCGATCAGGTCGTTGGCGATCTTCCGTCGTTCCTCGGAGTATGTATTTAGTAGAGATGCCGGGGCGAGCCCGCGTGAAACGAGGTTCAGTTTCCACGCCAGGTTGACGCTGTCATGCATGCTGGTGTTGGCGCCTTGGGCTGCTAGGGCGGAGTGAACGTGACCGGCCTGTATTTTGTTATTCAAATCAGTACACTGGTGGGAAAAAGAAGGATGGAACGGGCATACATCGCCAGCAATGAAGATCTGATTTTCGGGATCGCTGAACCGACGAGCGACGCGTTGGCCAACGACGTAGTTGCCGAACCATTCTATCTGATCAGTATATTTCTCCATCTAGAATATGGGGGCGGGGTATAAGGATACCGATAAACTTCCACTCCAATCGGAAAGGCTGCATCGCCTCTCGCGCCCTAGCCATAACGTACTCCGGCGTCGCCTTGGCTCTATCGACCCTCTCTCCGTCCGTGGAACTAAGCTCAACGTATAACCGCGTCATACCGCGTTCCCTGGGAATCCAGAGAATAGATCCTGCTGTGTGCGAGCGAACGGCGACTTTGCTCCAGAGGTCGGGGAAGTCGGTATCGATGATTCCTATACATACCATATAGCACCCGTCAGCCAACCAGAATTACCAATGAAGGATCTGAAAGAGATGAGTACCATCCAGAACTCCCCAAGAAGCATTACTCATCTCGCCCTCTAACTGCGCCCCAGGAATGAAGTCCCGGACTTTGGACCTTGCGCCGTCGCACCCAACAAGATATTTCGTGCGGATGGGTTTTTGGGTATTTGTTGTGTTGTCGTTGTAGATAACTTCGAGTTCTCCACTCCCGTCTGATGTCTTAGAAACAGACACGAATGGACTGTTCCGCTGTACACTGCCCCCTCTTTCTTCTATATCCTTGATCAAGACATCCTCGAGCATGCCCTGGTGCGCGAGCAGAATGTATGGGTCTGAGGCGCCGACCAGATGGTCCGGGTAGTGCGTTTGGCGGGATGTGCGGTTGAGGGTTGGGTTTTGGGGGGTGGATTCCTATGTTACCATTGATATTAATACCAAGTGACATTTCGATGTTGTTCTTGGTTGGAAAGGTTATATACCCAAAAACAAATATCATACACCTTGGCCCCATTGCGGAGCAACTCATCCGACAGTCGCAGCTGTTTTAGCGTTTCGATGGTCTTAGGCTGCAGACCGTCTGCTTTTCCGGTTGATGTAGCTGTCGGGCGGTCGTCGAGGAGAATTACCGGTGTGCCGTAACGGAGGAGGTTGTTTCTATTCACATCATTACCAGTTAGTTGGGAGTATTTGGTGGTGATTGTGAGTGGGGGAGGTACGTTAGCATTAAGCCCGAGGGGCCAGCGCCTACTACCACCACTGTTGTGGTGGGTATGGTGGAAGGGCTGGGGAAGCCCTCGTTGATGGCGCTTGGGGACATTGTGTGTATTCCTTGTGTTTGTAATGGTGATGATACGTTCATGGTTGCTTCTGGATGAGTATTGTTATAGTAGTTGGTTACTAGTGATGGGGTTCGGACTGATTGCCGAGTGAGCTGATAACCCCACTTTTGGGCGAGGATAGCTTATGCGGGGGATAGCTACCCTTTCGATAGTCTTATTGATTATGAATGATTGCGTGATATTATCAGTCTGATTCAATGCACCTAGTTATCGAGATTGCAAAGATAATCATAACTAGTTACTACCACTTAGTCACCC